GAACTCACCAAATACAATTTTATTTTATTTTATTTATTATTTTTATTTTATGTGTATGTGCGTATTGCCTGCATGTAGGTAAGTGAACCCGTGTCGTGCAATGCCCACAGAGGTCGGAAGAGGCTGTCAGATCCCCTGGGACTGGAGTTATAGACTGTTGTTAGTTGCCATGTGGGTGCTGGGATTCGAACCCGGGTCTTCTGCAAGAACAACCAGTGTTCTTAACCACTGAGCCATCTCTCCAGCCCCAGCCAAACACAATTTAAGAATTAATAGGTCTTTATAAATAAGGGGCTACATCTACATAAGTCATCAGAAACAAAAGACAAGCAGGTTCCAGCATCCGTACATAGACAAAGGCCAGGATCCTCTGATGTCATTCCTCAAAACTCTTCTAAATTAACACCTTGCTTTTTAATGATCCCAACCTGTGCCTACCATCATTTACATAAGCCAACTTTCTGAAATAGCAAATAAAAAAGCTCTTGTAATAAATTTTTAGAGCGCGTCTCCAAAAAGGGAAAGAAGAGTTTCACAGCTCTCACCTTTCCTGGATCTAGTAATATTAGTACCATAATGCCTATGTGCTCCAAGAGAGGGAGTGGAATACTGCTTTTTATAGTCAGATGTTACACACAAAATTACTCTGGAAAAACAGTTCCTCCCAAAAATAACATTATCCACCAACTGAGAATTAAGGGACAGGTAAGACAAAGTCTGCTGGGGACATGGGGAAGCTCTCCTAAGAGCCATGTGCATAGTGGACCAGGCTCCATTCTTAAAGTATATCTGCTCAGAGTACAGACCCAAAAGCAGGCCTTACAATTGAAAAATACAAACACTAGTTTGCAGTAGCAGACAATTACCTTTATGCAGTGACTTAGCAATCTGTAGGCAGCAGGACACCTGAATATACTTAACAGACATTTCATTCTTACAAAGTAGAGGCTCAGATGTTACATTCACCATGTATCAAAGCGAACCTTTCCATGACATGCATTACAGTGAGGAATAGTACAGATAAAGAAGCCAAGACATGATACTTACACATTTTATCTTGTGAATTCCTCCTTGCATTATATCCGGAACCAAGATCTGGAAACCCTCCAACATTTTCAAAACAGAACTTCTTGTTAATATAGAGAAAAAGGAGCAGCATCAAGAGAACAAACACCCCAACCGCTGACAGAAATCCAACCGCCTCTGGAGAGACTAGAGGAGAGAAAGTCACAGTGGTCAGCGCTTGTTTCTCTTTAAGCTACAAAGGAGGAGGAAACCCCCAACATACGTGAGATAGATTTTGCTGCTTTATTTCAATTACTTTTAAATTGTCATGATTTAAATAGTTTATAAGAAAACCCACAAACTTTAAATTATTCAACATATTCAATAGCATTCATTCAGAATTTTCAAAATGTTTCTCCATAAGTTAAATTTAAAAATTGGTTAAAGAAAAACAACACTCTAAAAAAAATAAGCAATCAACTAACAACAAATCCATGAAGAGTATATAAAAATTTTTACGCAGTCTTAGAATTATTTCTCATGCACAAGAATTACAAATTCATGAGAGTGTGCACTATTATCATCTCTCAAAGCGTCACTGGCCCCTTCCTATTGAACACTGGTTTCCCTAACCTGGCACTTAAAATTCCAGCCTCTCCTTTCGAAACACCTATCAGTCAAAGGAGTGCACCCGGCAAGCTCAGAACAAACAGCGTGCAGTGTGCGGTTGTGCGTCCTCCAGTCTGATGACCAGCTCATCATCACATCATCCCATTCATTCACACAACCAACAAAATTGCTCAGTCATCAGCTGCACACTAGGCAGTCATGCACACAGCTCCTGTTTACCACAGGCACCTGGTAAAAGCAGTTACAACACAGTGCAATGAAGACTGTGGCTGGAGAAGAGCATAAGAAACGATCATAGAACCACAGGACACTCATTAAGGTTAAGCACTGAAGGGTCAAATGAGCTGTTCTGAAAGCTACGGCTTCCATAACTCGATGAACTAATAGAACTTAGATGAGTTAGCACTATCCCAAGATGAAGCAAAGATGTGTGTGAATCCTAGAGACAGGACATCCCAAAAGCAGCCTGAAACTTTCTTACGAGCCATCTGACTGAAAAGAAGTTGGTCTGAAGAGAATACATAACACTACCCAGGGAGATTTTGTAGAGTGAGGACAGATAAATCTTTGACGTCTCCAGTTTCCAGCAATCTCCCTCTTCTTTCAACCGTCTCATCATCTGTCACCAACCACACCAGTCATCTGGAGTTAAACAGAAACCACAGTATTGTATCCCCTGTACCTTGGAAGCATCAGTGTAGATGAATCATAAGTCTCAAGTGCCCCTTATGAATTATGGCCTACTTTCCCTCCATTGCTCAGGTAGCATGTACCAAGATTCTTTAAGCAAAAGATCTCATTTGTAAAGAATGAGGTCACCAGCTGATGAATCGTTAGTATTTTTATCTGTGCTTTATTATTTATGAAAGCCAGGCACACCTTGAGTAGACGAGAGTATGACATTACAGTCTACTCCAAGCTGGGTCAGTAGTGTTGTCATAGATGAAGCAGTGATGCCATAAAGGAGGGATGCTGAGAGGAGGAGGAGGCAGCAAGAAGCACACAGAGCGTACACCACGTGTCATCTTTAGGCACCTGCTCAGTCTTCCCAGAAGATCCTATTACCATCCCCATTATAAAATGGTCTATAGCAATATGAATCACATGCTCAACCAGAATTCAAAGCTGCTGGAACCACTGCACTTCCTACCACTGCTCATATTGTTCCTCCTCCTCAGCTCTGCTTGCCTTTCCCCATCCCTTGCCCCAACACAGACTCCTGGATTATTTTTCCGTCTTTCTGCTCTCATTTTTAAAATTCAACCTTGAGAGTGGAAAATTGAACCAGAAACCAGTAAGTATAGTGAAAGGCAGCAAGCACTACAGTAGAAATGGGAGTATAAACTCCTGGGACACACACAGAATAGTTCAGAAAGGAGCTGCACTGGAGTATGATTAAAAAGTAGATACAAATTCCATAAATGGAAAAGGGCAGGTGGAATAGCATGATCAAAGACAGTATTTTAAAGCTACTGAAGGGGCTAGAGAGATGGCTCAGCAGTTAATGCTCTTGCAGAGGACCTGGGTTCTATTCCTAGCACTCACATGGTAGCTAACAACCACACATAACTCTAGTTCCAGGGGGATACAACACCCACTTCTGACCTCCTAGGGCACTGTATGACACAGGTGCACTTACAAACATGCAGGTAATATACTCATACATATAAAAAAATTTTTTTTAAATCTGAGCCTTGTGGCATGCACTTGTAATCCCAGTGCAGGGGAAGCAGAGACAGGAGGATCACTGGGACTCATTGGGACTCACTGAAGGGTCAGCCTAGCCAAATCAATGAGCTCCAGGTTTAGTGAGAGATGCCATCTCAAAAACCAAGGTGGGTTGGGGGAGGGGTATGGATGGGGGAGGGAATATAAAGATGATTAAGATGTTTTGTATGAAATACACATAAATTCAATAAAAAACATACATTAGGGGAAAAAAAAAACGCAAGGTAGATGGCACCTGAGGAATGAATCCATGGCCTCCACATGTATACATACACATGTACACATACACATACACACATACAATTTTTTTAAAGGCCTGTTGTCTCTTAAGAAAAACTTTTTTTTTTTTTTTTTTTGGTCTTTTTGAGACAGGGTCTCCATGTAGCCTCAGCTGTCCCGGAACTCACTATGTAAACCAGGCTGGCCTCGAACTCACAAAGCTCCGCCTGCCTCTGCCTCCCAAGTGCTGGGATTAAAGGTATGTGCCACCACGCCCAGCAAGAAAAACTTTTGAAATCTCTAAGTGCACAGTCAAAATTCATGCAGGTCCATGCTATAGAGTCAAAGAACTGAACTTGCTGAATGTTGTAAATAAGTTCACTGGTGCCCTGTTCTCCCATCATTCAGACTCAGTATTTGAATGTGTTGGACAAGAAGCAGTGGGCACACTGTGGTCAGTGTTTAGCGAGTGCTGAACACTGTTTAGCAGAGACTGTGTCACTAGCACTGTGTCATTTACTCCTCAATAAACATATCTGATCGGTGCTGCTACCAATGCCCCATAACAATCTGTGAAGCTTTCAGTCATAAAACTACTATTCAGTGACAGACTGGGGTTTGAATTTGGTCAAGAACTTAGAATCCTGAACTCAGCTGTTAATGGTAAACCTCTTTATTTGACATTCACCAACCACAGTTAAAATCACTTTTATTTTAAAATAATCAAAATGGTTCTATGACCATTTCAGTTCAGACTAGGAAGCTAAGGCACAAAAAGGCGCTAGTTTGTCCAAAGTCACAAATCTACAAAACCTATCAAGTGGGAGATCCTAGATCTGAACCCAGACATTCTGTCTTGAGTGCATTGTCTTAAGCACCAAGCAGACCTGCTCCTTAAATGTCAGCCTGAATATAAAAAATGCAGGAAAGCTACTGACCGAAGCCACAGCACTAACTGCATATATTTATAGTTTAGCTTTTATAAAGGTTTAAAAAAAATCAATAAAGTTCACCCTTTTCAAAATAAACATGTAAATTATAAAATTGAAATCATTATCAAAATACTTTAAAAAATATTTCAAATTAACTTTAGAACTATGCTTAGAAGCCAATATCAACAGTACATGTTTATGCTGTATGACACATTTGAAGTTAGTAGACACGACTGATGGCACATAGCTGGGCTTCAGGAGGCAGAGAAAAGAGGATCATGACCTCAAAGGCAGCCTGGGCTGCACAGTGAGACCCTGAGAATGACTGACTGATAAGTGATTGATTGAATGATAGATTAGAGATAAAGAAGTTTTAAACAAAAGATATTGAACAGGAACCTTGATAACTGTAGTGTTGCTCAACAGACACTATTAACTGTAAATACTTACTGGGCTATCTGTCTCTATGAACTCCTAAAAACCATAGTGCAAAGTAAAAACAAAACAGTACAAGGTGTAACAGAAGACTGTGTGAGAAAACCCAGGAAATTGAGTTTGTTCAAGATCAAATTATATATCTAGACTCCTCTGAGCAACTGTCTTCAGATTTAGAAAAAAATGTTTATATTTACAAAAAGAAAACTTAGATACCACCTTTTGACAAAATTCAAGTTTCAGCAATAGTGGTAAAATTCATTTCAATTTCTAAAATAAGTTGCACATTCAAAAAAGATAAAATTCACCTATGATAATCAAAGCAAAGGTAAATTCATTTTGACTTTAAGAACACAATTCCACTTTACATTTTGCCACAAATGGACATTTTCTAGGTAGTTTCTGAGAAAGAGAGCTAGAGCTGACATACAAATCACTAAGTAAAGGGAAATAGCCACTAAACAAATGCTTCCAATTTTTATTTATGCGTACTACCATCATGTTTAGCTCTACATAGAACTTGTTTATATCAAAGCAGTGAATTTAACTTTACAAACACATCTGGTAAGACTGTTCTACTCATTACTTATCTGCAATGAAAAATTAGACTTAAAAGAATGATCTGTAATTCTTTAAAAACAAAGGAGATAAAGAGCAAAACTTACATGTGCATGACGGTATGGATGTGCCTTGTTCTGCTGAAGTGGAACCTGAGCTGGAGCCCCTGTCATGCATGTTTAAATAATTCATTTCATAGACACAATGTTATCACCTGACCAAAATGCAAGCTAGATAAGAAGCCAACTTTCATGTTAAAAGAAATATTTGTTCCCTATTTATTTATGTCTATGACCTTTTCTCATATTTTAATTTTTTTCTGGTTTGAGCATAGAATAGACACCAAGAAGTAATTCAGGAGTGGAAAAGATTAATTTGATGTGTTTAAATTACCATTTGTAATATCTCAATTACACAAATTAATATCTCCCTTGAAATTTTTCTATTATGATATAAATGATGCCAAACTGGAAAGAAATGAATATAATATACAGCTAAGAGCTCTGGTCTCTATTTTTTTCAAAAAATGCAACCACTAAAAACAGCATTACTGATAAGTGGCAGGATCCACTGCTGAGCAGCTGCAGGAAGCGGGAGGCCCAGAGATCATCCGAGTGGACCCTGAGACCTCGTGAACACAATGCCAGATACAGATACTTGCACAGCTGACAAACAGGAACCATTCAATGTATTTCATATGCCAAA